TAGATTTCCTCTATGATCACAGCAATACATTCTAAGTTTTCAAACCACAAACAACGACAAAACATGACATAGCATATTACCATCGTTCACATTTTATTTAGCACAACCAGTAAGAAATGCAGAAGCAGTGTGTTTAATAACCAACACCCTATTTTTCAGTAGTTTGTAGAATCTCAAGCAGCAGTAACTTGAAGTGTCAACTTGCTGGCTGCAAGTTGCCCGTTCTCTGTGGCTTCCAAACAAGCCTAAATCATTACCCCTCCACCTCCGTGCTTGACAATTGGTAAAGTTTTCACATTACTGCAAATTGGATCCTGGTTCAAATAACCTGTGTGGCTCAGACCCCACATTACATCACTTTACATTACAGGGGTTGGGGCTGTGTTCGATAGGGGACAAACATCTTCTCTCTGGTTGTCTGTCCAAAACACATCGTTGCCATATTTTAAAAAGAAGAAAATTCCTCGTGGCAATCCTTTTGAAAAAAGTCACACTTCATTAGTCAAATTGTGATGTCACAAACTTTAGCATTTAACATGCTAACTGAGTCCTGTAGACTGTGGGTAGCAGTTCTTGGGGATTTTTGCAGTTTCTGTTAGTATTGCAGTCTGGCCTTGGGTGGATTTAACTGTGATGTCCACTTCCGCAACTGTATGAATATATTCATGAATATATTTAATATTTCTTAACTTGTGAATAATCTTTCTCACTGCAGAATAACGGCTTTCCCAAGTTGATGGGGAACAACTTAATTTCTGGTTAGCTTTTGTTAAATAAATGAGGACACAGTGCAACGTGTAATCTATGGTTGTTCATCTGAGTTTGTATTTAAATTATTTCTGGACATATTGAGGACCAGAGGATTTTTTAAAATATGTCCTCATATGTAAAACCATAGAAGTGAAAGAGGATGCGATTTCATTTTCACATCACTGTAAATGCATTGTACAGTTCACAAGTTTATAAAAAGAGTCTTATAAACATACAATACAAACAGTATAGGAGCTAGCCTAAACTGCCTTTCCTCCACTTCTG